ACTATCAACTTTCCCACCATAATGTGAAAACAATCGGTGACCTCCGATATACTTCTCACCAAGAGAGTTTTTTTTTCATCGGAGTTGTTTACAAAGATTTTTCCGACATCGGCGTAAAAATCGCGGATTTCACAATAAATGTCTAGAACTGCAATATTTCCCCAAACATGGAAGCGTGCAGAGATAAAATTTATACCTAAAACACAGTTAGGGCACCCTTCAACATCAAAAGATTCCTATTTCGCTGTTGCCGATACTTGGCAAAATCCTGGACGCTGTACTTTCGAAAAAGCTGGAATTTGTAATAGAGAAATCAGGCTTTCTACATAACAATCAACATGGTTTCCGCAAAAACAGGAGCACAATAACTGCTCTACAACAGATGGTGGGGATCATTGACAATGCAAAAACCAATAACAAACACACGGTGGCCGTGGTAATTGACTTTCGAGGAGCTTTTCACCACGCGTGGTGGCCGATCATTCTCACAGCTCTGGAAGAAATTAAATGCCCCAGAAATATATACGGGCTTTACAGAAGCTTCCTATCAGAAAGGAAAGCCAGCATTACGACTGAAGCCAGCAGCATCATCAAAAACATAAACAGAGGGTGCTCACAAGGATCAAGGTCGGGGCCCATCTTGTGGTTGACATTGTACAACGATATTTTCAAACTGCAAGACAACTCTCTGAGAGATAGCTATCGTTGGATTTGCAGACGACACACTAGTTCTTATGGCACATAAAAATCGAGAAGTTCATGAATAAACTTCTCAGTAAGATAAACCAATGGGCTGAAAAGAAAAAACTACTTATAAATCCTGCAAAATATGCCTGTATCACATTTCCACGATTTCACCCTCTGGTTAATAGTCCTGCCATCGAGTTTTCTGGCCAATGTACGCGCGCAATTGTTTGTTGAGTTCAGCCGTAATGGGGCTCCTACTGCCTCAAAACAGAGGCAGTTATACTGTATACCATTATATTTCGGCTATTTGTACTTTTTTGTGTTTAATAAATGGCACTCGGCAGGTGCTCTGAGATGTCATATTTCACTCTTTCCTATCTACCTTTCTCTTCTCTTCACTCTTCTCACTTCTACTATAACTTTTCATCTTTCCTTTTCCAAGGCTATTGGTGGTGGCCTTCTAATCCTTTAGTAAATGTAAATGTTATATGTAACAGCTAAGAAAGTAAAAATTGATTCACGCGTAATTATTATTTTTATATGTAAGCTTAAAGTAATGTGAAAATTATCAGAGATACTGTGTATAATGTAATTTTTATGAACAACATTGTATTTATGTTTTAATCAAATTTTAATCAAAAACTTGAAAAATAAAAATGATTAAAACAAACATAAAATTTATTAAATATTTAAAGGATTTAAATAAAGTTGCTAATTTTACGTAGTTTAAAATATTTTTTGAAAAAAAATTTGTCTTATATAATATAAATACAGTAGCCCTTTGTTATATCGCGCTTGTCAGGAGACAAAGAAGAAGCGCGATATAACGGAGTACTAAAACTTCTGAGCTTATACTAAAGAGATTATACATGTTATGAAATATCTATCCTCTATTCTTTCATCAGCAAGTGTTTTTGATATAAAATAAGCTTAGTTTTTCATTACTAAATTTTATTCATAGATATATCGTATTAATTGACGTTTACGTAAATACCGATACAGTAGAGCCTTGATTATCCGACCCCCGATTAACCGACACCTCGGTTAACCGACCGTCCTAGTCGGCAAATTTCAAATGTCCGCTAGTGATNTTAAAATCTAAGAAAATAAAATATTTTAAAAATCTTGAACATCGACTAATATTAAATAAAGATAATACTCTGTTTTGGTCAACAGTACATGAACTGCGTAGACAGAATACTGAAAATCAATCGCAAATTGACTTTTTAACCTGGTCACTTTATTATAAAAAAATAACCGTCATAAGTAATATAACCATTATAGAGACGTTGAATCTGGGAAATAAAATTTTAGATCCGATAATTACCTACGACGAATTAGAAACATCAATCAATAAAATGAAAACAAAATCTGCACCAGGTATGGATCTAATTACAGCCAAATTCTTAAAATTATTACTACCATCAGGGAACACAGATATTGCTTGAATTAATCAATTCATTCTACAATTCAGCAAACTTTCCGGAAAATTGGAATACAGTAAAACTGATAATGATATATAAAAAAAGGAGACAGAAAAGATCCAGGAAACTACAGACTAATCGCATTACTACCAACTTTACGAAAATGCTTTACTTCTATACTGGCACTACGATTCTAACGATGGACTGAAGAACTTAATTTAAACTCAAAATTTCAATTTGCATTTATAAAAACAAAAGGAACAGAAATGGCATTATTCTTGTTATTATCAATAATACAAATTTACTTACTAAAAAAACACAGGAAAATATATTCTGCTTTCATCGATACTGTATAGCAAAAGCCTTTGATTCAGTACATGTTCCAACTTTGATCAATAAATTGAAAACATGTGGCTCAGGAAAAAAATTTTCAGATTCAATTGCGAAATTATTTTCAAATTACAGAATCAACATTAGCCACTGTAATCAGATATTCCCAGAACTAATTATAAACCGAGGATTACTACAAGGAGAACCGCTATCGCCATATTTGTTTAATTTTTATTTGAATGATATCGATAAATTATTTCTACTTGACACTGAAGGTGTTCAAATTTCTGGAAGAAATTACCACTATATATTATATGCAGATGATCTTGTATTACTTGCCCCAACAAAAATAGCTTTGCAGCATAAACTAAGTATAATAAACAACTATCTGAATTCCCTGTTTTTAACGATCAATATCTCAAAAACCAAAATAATAATATTTAGAAATAATGTTAAACTTCCAAAACAAGAAAAGTCATACTATTTAAATAATCAACTTCTTACCTTGGTAAATGATATAAAATATTTAGGAATATCATTTAATTGGAATTGTAATTTTCAACCGCATCTGAAAAATCTAACTAAAAAAATAAATACTTTGATGGATAATGCTATATATTTATGTGCAACTTTAAAAATGACGGATATAAAACTACAAATGAAATTATTCAACCTTTTAATTATCCCTTCAATATATTATGCAAGCCCTATTTGGGCAATAGACTTATTGTACGATTTAGAAAAATTCCATGTTATTTACCTACGAAAATTATATAAAATAGAAAGGACAGTTCCTGGTTATGCAATTCGTGCCGAAACTAACAGATTCCAACTATTTCCGTTTTATTTAAAAAGACTGATAAAATTCTATTATAGATTAAAACAGTCTAATGACGATAATATAAGATTCTTACATCAAATAATGCTAAATCAAAATTTTAACCTTGATAACAATAAAAATCTATGGCAATACAAATTTAATAAATTATTACAATCTTTTGGTGTATCATACAGATTATTTGAAGGTTCAGAAACAAATTGGCAAAATGGATACTCTCTAATGATTGAATCAGCGTTTTCTCAATCAGTATGAC